AGATATACATCTAATATTTTTAATCCATATCTTTTCTGAATTAAGGAAACTTTACTGGACAGATGGAAACACAATCAACATGGCAAACATGGATGGCAGTAATAGCAAAATTCTTTTTCAGAATCAAAAGGAACCAGTGGGTAAGTTGTCTTTTGAATAATCACTGCAGTTTTTAATATATATTTTATTGATTTTTTACAGAGAGGAAGGGAGAGGGAGAGTAGAAACATCAATGAGAGAGAAACATCGATCAGCTGCCTCCTGCACACTCCCCACTGGGGACGTGCCCGCAACCAAGGTACATGCCCTTGACCGGAATCGAACCTGGGACCTTTGAGTCCGCAGGCCGATGCTCTATCCACTGAGCCAAACCAGTTAGGGCATCACTGCAGTTTTTAATATGATAAAACTATATTATGCAATGTATCTCTGCTCTAGAACCTGAAAGAAAATATTACATATTAGTCATAGAAATTAAATTAGGAAATTTTCCATCTTATTAAATTCATTGGGTCTATGTGGGGTAAGGAGAAAGCAATCTTTTTATGGATAAAAATAAAAGCCTTTTGATAAGAGTCTTTTTACAATAACTTAAGCACTGGAGTTGCTTAAAACTTAATGTAAGTAATAAATACCTTATTTTCACCGGTGAATGTCTGTGTTGCTACAGTGCCAATATATTGTACTGAGACTTCCCCATCACTATTGTGCCATTATTAATAATTAGAATGATTTGAGGTTAAGTTGTTGCTATTTTATTTTCATTCACTCTCAGTTGTGTTCATTTAGTTTGTTTTTTTACCTTTGCCAGCCATTGTATATTATTTGTTAAAACACCATCATTTTCTTTTCAAATTATAATCACTTATCCCTCATAATTTCGAGTATTTCTTTGAGAGGCAAGAATTATCATATTGCTTATTTGTCATCTCAGAATACCTTTTAAAAATTCCATAAATGAAACTGGATTTTGATGTTATGTTAAATGTGAAAATGATGGAATATGCAAAAGAAAATAATTTTGAATTGCATATAGCATAGTTTTAGTTTGGGAGTAAAATCAATACACCATGAAGTTTTTAAACTTTTTTTTCAGTTTTAGAAATGTGGAAGTACACTTACTTAAAATAGGTTATTTTTAATAGTGATGATTTAATAAAGGTGTAGTATCAACAATATTTGCAATAAATAATTTTTTCATATATAAACATCTGATATAAAATGATACTTTAACAGCTCTTTTCCTTGGACTGTTCTAAAATTTGATACATAATTGAAATACAAAGTAGTGTTAGAAATTAAAGGTAAAATGAAATGCTAACATTTCTGTGTGGAAGATGATAGAACAAAAGAAACAAGGGCTCTAAAGATTGGGAGCCATACAAATGACTTACTTTGAACTAAACCAATTCAGTTAGCACTTATCTGGAGTTATTCAGAATATTTAAAATGTAAAAATGAGTATGCTGGAAATAGCACATGCAAATAAAGTCCTTATATTGTAATGTAGTAGCTTTAGGTTACATGCTTGTTTCTTTAATGGGGAAAACCTTATCTTCTTTAATGCTCAATATCCATTTCTCTGCTCAAAATAAATTAAAGAAAAAAACCTAACAGCTTATATAAGAAAAGTTTACAAGAAAGAAATTAGTGTTTCTACTTACACTTTATACTTGGTCCCTCAGGTGTTACGTGCCAAATGATATTTTAAGCGTATATAGATGAAGACTCGACCTTTAATAACAAATATTAGATGTCTACTCCATGTCAGTTATTATTATACTAGAAGCCCATTGCAGGAGGATTCCTGCAAGAATAGGGCTTCCTCGGCCGATCACACCGCCAAGCCCCGCCCACCCAGGGCTGCACACAGGGGTCCCGCAGGGCTTAGGCGGCTTGTTTGCACCGCCAAGCCCTGCTGCCCAGGGCCGCTCACGGTGTTTCCGGCTGGGAGCGGGGCTTAGTTGGTGGTTAATCTGCATATCGTGCTGATTAGCCAATGGGAGGCGTAGCGAAGGTATGGTCAATTACCATGTTTGTCTATTATTAGATAGGATTTGAAAATTACTTTTAAATGAATCCAAAGTCACAATTTTTCATTTTAATTTGTGTAAGATATACTACTTTACCAGAAAAAAACCCCACAGAATCTTTATTACAAAGTGTACCTTAATTAGAATTGTGTATGTCTTTTGACTTAGAAATTTATTGAATAAACAGATTTTTTAGTATCAGATTTCTGTATTTGATCTATTGATAAGAATTTGACACTATCCTTCTCCTAAAGGGTGTCAGAAACTAAATCATTTTAGTTTTTGTTAAACTTAGTGACCTTGGGCAAATTACTATTTGCTCGTGGTGCTGGCTTTTCTCATCTGTAAAATAAAAAAAAAATATATCTATTTTATAAAGTTCTCATGAGAATTGAATGAATAAAAGTTATGAGAAGCATGTCTGGCCTTTAATAGTAGAACCTTAAACAGAAGTAATGGAAGATATATGGGGTCCAATAGACTGGAACATGAATGATTTGATTGTCTGTAGTATTAAGAGTATAAATGAATTCAGTAAGAATAACCATAGAATAGAATTCATAGAAATCTAGCAGAAGAATACATGTTTTATTTTACAGTTTAAAATTCAATACTGTTTCCCTTTCTGATAGTTCATTATCGGTGCATAAAAATGCAACTGATTTCTAGATATTTATTTTGTATCCTGCTACTTTACTGAATTAATTTACCAGTTCTAGTAGTTTATTGTGGGAACTTTTAGGATTCTCTACATATAGTATCATGTCATCTGCAAATAATGACAGTTTTCATTTTTCCTTTCCAACTTGGATGCTTTTTATTTTATTTTTTTCTTGTCTGATTGATGTGGCTAGGATTTCCAGTACTATGATGAATAAGAATGGTGAAAGTAGACATCCCTGTCTTATTGTCTAATTTGTTGGCATAAGGGAAATGCTTTCGATTTTGAGCATTGAGTATGATCTTTGCTCTAGTTTGTTATATATGGCCTTTATTCCCTTGAGGTATGTTCCTTCTATTCCCACTTTGCTGAGAGTTTTTATCATAAATGGGTGTTGGGTTTTATCAAATGATTTTTCTGCATCTAGAGATATGATCATGTGGTTTTTATTCTTCATTTTGTTTATGTGGTATATCACATTTATTGATTTGCACATATTGTACCAACCTTGTATCCCCAGAATAATCCTACTTGATCATGATCTCTGATCTTTTTTCATGTACTGATGGATCCAGTTTGCTAATATTTTGTTGAGGATTTAAGCATCTATGTTCATCATGGATATTGGCCTATAATTTTTTTTTCTTTGTAGTGTCATTTTTTCTGGTTTGGGAATTAGGATAATGCTGGCCTCATAAAATGAACTTGGGAGTCTTTGCTCCTCTTTAATTTTTTGGAATAGTTTGAGGAAGATAATTGTTCCTTTTTCTCTGGGTTTGCTAATATTTCGTTGAGGATTTAAGCATCTATGTTCATCATGGATATTGGCCTATAATTTTTTTTTCTTTGTAGTGTCATTTTTTCTGGTTTGGGAATTAGGATAATGCTGGCCTCATAAAATGAACTTGGGAGTCTTTGCTCCTCTTTAATTTTTTGGAATAGTTTGAGGAAGATAATTGTTCCTTTTTCTCTGAATGTTTGGTAAAATTCCCCTATGAAGCCACCTGATCCAGGAATTTTGTTTGTTGGAGGTTGTTGTTTTTTATTTTTATCACTGGTTAAATTTCACTAGTTGTAATCTGCCTATTCAGATTCTCTGATTCCTCCTGATTCAGTTTCGGAGCATTGTATGTTTCTAGGAATTATCCATTTCTTCTGTATTGTCCAACTTATTGGCATAAAGTTGTTCAAAATATTTTCTCACAATCTTTTGTATTTTGTTGATATCAGTTGTTACTTATCCTCTTTCAATTCTGATTTTATTTATTTGGGTCCTCTTTTTCTTGATTAGTCTGGTTAAAGGTTTGTCATTCGTATTTATCTTTTCAAAGAATAGCGCTTGCTTTTATTGATCTTTTGTCTTGTATTTCTACATTCTATTTTGTGTTGTGTGTTTTTATGTGTGTGTTTTTTTCTGCTCTGATCTTTATTGTTTCTTCTACTCACTTTGGGCTTTGTTGTTGTTTTTTCAAGTTTCTTTAAGTATCAAGTTAGATTGTTTATTTGAAATTTTTTTTCTGTTTCTTGAGGGAATTAATTTTCTTGTTAGGACTACATTTGTTGTGTCCCATAGATTTTGGATTATGTGTTTTCATTTTCATTTGTTTCAGAGTATCTTTTAATTTCTTCCTTGATCGTATTATTACCATTCATTGTTTAGTAGCATGTTATTTAGCTCCCATGGCTTTTGTGTGTTTTTCAGTTTCCTTCTTATGATTGATTGCTTTCTAGTTTCATATCATTATAGCCAGAGAAAATTCTATATGATTTCAAGATTTTTAAAAAATATATATTTTTATTTATTTTAAAGAGAGAGATGAGAGGAGGAGAGAGAGAGAGAGAGAGAAAAACATCAGTTGTTTGCCTCCCATATACACTTTGACCAGGGATTGAACCCATAAGCTGAGAATATGGCAGACTGGGAATTGAACTGGTGACCTGTTGGTGCAAGGTATGATGCTCAACCAACTGAGCCACATTGGCCAGGGCATGATTGCAATCTTCTTGAATTCATGAGATTTTATTTGTGCCTTAACATATGGTCTATCCTAGAAAATATTCCATGAGCACTTGAAAAGAATATATATTGTGATGCTTTGGAGTAAAATGCTCTGAAGATAACAATTAAGCCCACCTGATCTAGTGTGTCATTTAAGGTCATCATTTTATTGTTGATTTTCTTTCTGGAAGTTCTCTCCATTGATGTCCCTGGAGGTTAAAATTCCTTACTCTGACTCTATTACTATCAACCTCTCCCTTTATGTCCATCAAGATTTGCTTTACATACTTAGGTGCTTCTATTTTGGGTACAAAAATGTTTATAATGGTTATACCCTCTTATTGGATTGATCCCTTTATCATTATATAGTGTCCTTTGTCTCTTACTGTAGCCTTTGTTTTAAATTCTATTTTTTCAGATATAAGTATTGCTACCCCAGCATTTTTC